CGGAATGTTAGCAGCAGTGACTTCTCTCTGTCCATCGCATGCGGGCTTATACAGAGGTGGGACTTGATGACTAAGGCTACTCACAAACACTTGGTGTCTTTGCAAGTGAAAATGGGTTGTGATACAGCACATCAGAGCAGTTCACAGCAACATCAGAGAATTTTTTTTTTCTAGCCAAGGGCCAAGGCTTTTAAACATTTAGCAAGCCATGTCCATATGTTAATAAACGTGTCAGTACTGTTCTATATTAATGTGAATAAATAATGTGGTAGTAGGCTATATGAAACAGTTGTGAGTCATATATAACCTTTAGGATATAGGCTCCCACCCCTGAGCTATAGAAATTAGCCTCAGTTAGGGAAAAATAAAATCTCAATAACGTCGAATAATGATTTGTTATTCTCAGAGTTCCATGTTAGGAAAAAGGATTACCAATGCACAAGTATTTATATAATCAACAAGATATTTTTTCACCTAGCATTTCCACAGAAAGAGGTTTAAAAAGACGAGTACCCCATCCTCTGCCTGATGCTCACTCTTTCCAGCACCAAGAGACAAACATGGCTGCAACTGATACAGATAGAAACGGTGCATTTAAGATCCTGCATTTCTCCGTTACTCTGTGTGTGTCTGTCTGCAGATTTATTTGCCCAGGAGAATTCAGAAAGACAGAGTAAGCACCACTGCAAGGTAGACAACTAAATGATCTCTGAATTTACATTTTCGGCTTGCCAACAGGTGAAAGGTGAATTTCTGGGTACACTCTGTATCTTAGATATCTAAAAAGATCTGAAAGCAAGTGCTTTTATCTTGCTTTACGAGCAAATTGAAAAAAGAAAAAAAAAAGAGAAGGTTTTGCTGCTAGGTGTCTTCCAATTTCAAACATTAGAAGTCTTCAGAAAACTGCAGCTTTGGAGTATCAGACAAACTCTGATTAACAGAGAGAGCACAGGTGAGAAAGGCAAGAACACATGCTATTTACCACTTAGCTTGGGAATGTATAAAGCCAGCTCTTGAGAATACAGATGCACATATTCCAGATTGATACGTCACCTCTTTTTCTTTTTCAGTTGCAGAAAAGTTGCTTTAGCAGCTGTATTACTATGGGAAAGGGGGAAAAAGAAGATAGAAGAGTCCTGCTCCCTGGGGCTTCCTGCACCCTAGAATATGGCTGCAGAGAGAGAATCCAAGACTGACTGATAGCCCATTGTTTAGTCCAATGAAGTGCAGTGAGCAACACATATTGCTCCAGCACACAGCTCCTATTAATGTGGCACAAGAGGAGTGCTCCTACAAAGTGCACATAAAAATTTCTCAGTGTTAATGGTGGTGCCAGAGTTTTGTGTATGAAGCCATCATACCACAGATACAACTCATAAAATGGAAATCTGATAACTAGCCTTAGCATGCTCCTCTCTTTGCAAAGCACACATTGAACTTACAGGTACTTTCATAACTGACAAAAATTAAAAGTGCTCTTTTAAAAATAAGTTGTGTTTTTATGTTTCTAAGTCATCTAGAAGACAGCACTGTCAAACAGAGAGTTTCTTTTTGAATACCCACTGCCTGTGTTAATGGCTACTTCACACACATCCAATAACACTGACCTCTTTGTGGTTTGTCTCCTTTCATGCCATATATGTTAGTGGACCTTCTCAGAAGAAAACAGATACCTGAAGAGGAAAATGGCTTTCTTTACTGTTGCTGCCTGTGCTTTTCTCTTCAAACCTTCCTCATCACTCACCTCTCTCAGCCACCAGACTGAATGGCAATATGCTTCATGACACCTGTTTGCTCACATATGTGCAAGGAGTGGGCTGTCTCATGAGGTCAGATATTAGGCTTTTACTGCTGAAGAGTCAAAATATTAATATGTATCATTACATCTGAAATCTGTAGTAGATATGGTGCCCTCACTTCACAGGCATGACTGACAAACACAACTGACAAAGCGACTTTGTGGAAGGTACATGAGTTAGCAGATCTGCAACTGCCAATAAAAAGCTTGTCATCATCTGGTCCATTTATTGGACCACCCTCCATCTTCACACAACAACCAACCAACAATTCAGACAGGACTATGGCAGCAAATACTTCTACCAACCCTAAAAACATCTGTGTGCATGCACACACACATATGTAAAATGGTCCCCAATATTACCTTTTCTTCTGTAAGATATTAACTGGAAGGAATATGCTGACATGACACAATGTACCCTTGTCAAGATCCTACAGAGCAGAAGTAATCTTTTAGCCCACCTTTTAATTGCAGAGGTTATTCTCTATCATGACTAGCAGTATCTATGAGTATAACAAAAGCTATTTTGGATCACTTTAAGGTACAACATTGAAAACCCTAAGGTTTATGCCTTGCAGTAAAAGCATCTGATTAAAATGCACAGTTTAAATGGAAGTATCTCTGTTTGGCAGGTAAGGCCAGTAAGAATACAAGGTTCCCTTTTCCAAAACAAAGGTAAGAGCAGATTTAATACTGCAAATCTGCTATAAATCTTGGGGGAACTGCAAAGCTTTATTTCCTATCCTGAGGTAGGAAAGAGAATGTCAGATCCCAGAGCCTGCTATTTTAAAGGAAATGTCCATGGAAGAACTAACCCCAGAACTTACCGCTTCCCTCAGTGTAGGGCAACCTAGATGTCCAACTAGAAAAACATCGAAGAAAGAAAACAACAGTATTTCAGAAAGTTATAAATTGTAAGATCAACAGATTCCGTCTCTCCCAGTATAACCTGGTGTTTTTACCTGGAGCTCCAGCTGTGCAGAAAGTTTTGGCAAAAACACATCTCCCTTTCCCTTGCACACATGATGTTCCAGATGAACCACCTAATGGATTGCCTTGGAAACCTAATACACAGAACTCCTTACGGGCTCTTGGCAGAAATCCTTTCTTACCTGCTCCCAGTGAACAATGCCCCATTTTAACAGCCTTTTCCAGTTGTCAGAAAGCCACACAGATTATATAATGTGTGGCCACCCTCCAGAGATCAACAGACCAGGTATCACAACTTAATCACCCTTGCATGCCTGACCATTCATTAAATTACAATCTACCTCAAGGACCACACCATTCATTTTGGAGTTGTCCTGCATGTGGTCCTGCAGTTTCTGAAAGGTAGTCTGTTGACAAACCCAAAGGAATACAAGCTGGTAACACAACGGACCAAATACTGAAGTAGCTCACTGTTGCTGCAGTTTAGATATGTTGTAAGAACCCAACAACTACGAATGGCACTCACTGTATAGAAGGAAGGTGTTAACAACTAGACTGGATGAATCTTTTCTTATTGTACCATTGTTTACGCCAAAAAACTTCGTGTGCACACTGCACCCTCCCCTAGCCTCATGTGCAAATGGATAGGGAAGTTAAGTCTTTGATCATTTTATTCATGTTTTTGATATGAATTTTGAGACAGACTTTTTTTTTTTTTAAAAATGAAGAGCTGCATTACATGACGCCACAGCTTTTATTCTTTACCTGGCTAGGCATTTCTCAATGTAGTTTAGCATGACACTCTAATAGAAAACTTTCTGTAAATTACCAAGAGAGAAATCAGGATAGTAGGAAGCACCGGACAATAGCAGTTTGCCAGAACAAACATTGGTGATTTCATTATCACTTCCAGCACTGACTACATGTGTTGCAGGGAAAAAGCTGACCTGGTTGAGGACTTTTCCATTTCTAACTATTATCTCTGAGGGAGTGTGCTAAGGAAACAATTGTCCTACTGAATCATTTCAAGAATTTTACAGCCAAGAAGATTTATTACCATAAAACAGGTCTTGGAAACAAGAATATTTGAGGAGACTCAATAGCTATTAAATCAGTGTGGAAAACATGATGCTGAAGGAATTGCATATGCCTGACACATGTTGTATGACTTTTTTTTTTTTAATAGAAAGTGTCTATAAAAAGCAAGTCTGTAGAATTACTTAAACCTCTCAGACAAAAAAGAGACACGGGTATAAATTAAAATGACATTCATATAAGTAATAGAAAAATTATAAATAAAGTACCACACAAAGGCTGTTTGACAAACTGGACAATAATTTCAAAACCTATGTGTTAAGAACATACTCATCCCTTAGTAAGCAAGCCGCGACACATTTTGCAGACTTATAGATATTTTAAATTTGAGTCAACAATACATAGAAAACTTCACGCAGTCTTTTAATGAGTCCACTTGTTAGCCGGTGTGAAACCAAATTCAGAATAATCTTAGGTTTTGTTATTACAACTGCAATGTAGATGTTGTTATCACACAATACATGCTCTGTTTAAGACAGTTAAAAGCATGTATCTTTAAAATTTGCCATTGTCTCCTACAAGTGAATCAGAAAGATGATCTGTAAGGCTTGCTATCTATAATACCACTGAAAAACATCCTGCTTTCTTGACCAAAATGGAAAAAAACTCCTGTGCTAAACCATAAATACATAGAGTACTCTCAAGTAAATGGTTTTAATATATTCAAAAATACTCAGCCAAAAATACAGCAGCTTTAAAGTAAGGTTAAAGCTTTTCTTACACCAACTGGTATTAGAGAGAATACTAACAAGCTCTGGAGCCCAAAACCCCTTTCCAGCCTTTCTTGTGTTCCTGCAAGTTCGTCCGATTCTTCAGATTTTATCAGAAACACTCTAAGAAGAGATAAAGCCTTTCCCTACAAATGCCTCCTCTCCGCATCCTTGGACCATCACTGCTACAACAACAGTAATATGCAATTACACAACACAATCTTGAACTATTTTATGCCTTGCACAGTGATGAGAAAGGGAGAGAAATGATCTACCTAATGCAACTCACCTTGAACCACACAGCTTGAAACCAGGGAACTAAGAACGGCTCTACAAACTGCATATGCTACACTCACAGTCAAAGAAATGAGGAAGACTAGTTGCCTTTTTAATTAAATGGATGTCTTGGAGAACAATTGGCCTATAGTATTATAGAAGAGCAAAATGAACATTCTTCCTTGACTTACTTTTTGGATTGTCCTGGTTCACGTGTATAACTCAGTCACCATTTCTTCTCCTGCAATACAACAAAGAAAAGACAAATTCTGTTAAAAAAAAAAAAAAAGTATTTGCTTGAACTGAAGTTTCTCATTTTATTGTTAATTAATGCTTGAAGCTTACTGTTTGCTTTTAGTCAGCACTGGGAAAACATTTCCATCGTTCATTTCTGTTTCTCTGATTTTGATTGCCAGAGTATTTCTGTTACATGAAACTGCTCTATCAAGATGAACTGTGGAGACTACCTTGTGATTTGAGCGTAACACTGAAGAATTCCAAATTCTATTGCAGAGTTTACCAAAGAAATTCCTCATAGCCATAGAGAAAGTGAAGAAATGTAAAGAAGGATTTAATTGCCCAAAGACAGGTATGTAGTTAGACTCTATGACTGTTCCTTGTTGCCTTCCAGCACCTACTTCAGAAAGGCAATGACTTTCCCTTGGTCTCGGGTTGTATCTGCTAGCCCTATGTTTCAGGCACCTCAAGATACTTCAGTGGGCATTGAATACAAATGGGTTGGCTATTATGTCCTGCTCTGGGCTTTGGATTCAAATCTGTAAAAACAGAGAAAGTATACCCATTCCTTACCGGGAATTCATTATTGTTTGTAAAGCATTTTGAAGTTTAAAACAAAAAAAGCAAGCAACCAAAAAAAACAAATCAAAAAAAATCTACTAAGTAGAATTATGAGAGTATTGTCCTTAAAAAGAATGCTTTAATGCTACATTCTCTATTTAGCAACATAATTAGTAAACCTTTAGCAGAAGCAGCAAAAAATTCCTCATTCCCTTACTATGCCAAGTAGTGACCTGGAAGAACTATTCAAACCTCCATAAAGAACTAGCATGCTCCAGATAATGGAATAACTAAATAACAGGGGACGTACTGGAAAATGAAGTACAGAGACATCTCATCACTCAAGGTTAGCACTGTTCTTGTTCTGCTGAAAACAGTAATTTGCAAGGGGGGGGGAGAAAAAAAAAAAAAGATGGAAAGAGGAAGGCACCAGTCAGAAAGAACCCTGACTCTGGCTAGGGTTTACAGCCAGGAGGAGGTAACAAAGCAACAAGTAAATGCCAACATGGATTTGCCAACCTGCTCAACTTCCCTTTCCAACAACCTAGAGAGCCGTGAGATACAGGGAAGGTGCAGTAATCATCACAGGCACCTGAGCGTGTTAGTTTTCACGCCATGTCACACCGTTTTCTCCTAAATCAATAAAGGAAGCATGGTATTCGTAAACATGCTGTAGAATTGGATGGAAAAACACATCCAAAGAATAAAACTATTAATTGTTCAAAACAGTGACCACATATTGATCTTAGCATGTGGTATCCAACCTTCAGCATCAGAAAAACACCAATGCATTCCAAAGGAAACAGAGTATCTCATTAATTCAGACAACTATGCATAAGAAGTGTTTTCTGACTCTTAATCAATTGAACTTCTAAAATCTCAATATGAAATAAATACATGTATCATCAGGGGCTATGAAATCATTTCATTCCTTTAAAAGGGACACCGTTAAACTTCAAGCTATTTAATTTAGCAAACAACAATAGAGCTTTATGAAGTGTGTTTTTCACTAATGACCTGGCCACTGTTTTTGTTGTGCTTGCCTCTAAAATGCACAGCCAATATTTGTGGTTTTAAAAAAATGACATTTCTTTTCTCAAAATGTTGTTGTGAAGGAAAAAAACAATCCAGAAAAAATTAAACTCAGAGTACAATCAAATATACAAAGGAAAACCACACACGTACAGATTTCATCACACTCCTCCAGATTTTAAATAGATCAACATATTTTGGAGATGGGTGTGATTTTATGCTAGCTGTGCCCCTTTAAAATTGGCAACTACATTTAATTCAGTGGCTTCTTATTCCAAATTCCAAACTCCAGTTGAAAATAGATCTCACAATGGAGTCTTACAGCTGAATATACTCTAGGGGAAAATTATTTCCTTTAATTTATTCCAAATTCATTTGCATGACAGTATATCATTAGTATACACAAAAAATATGTATTATACCAACAGAGGAAAATTCTGTTCAGTTAAAAGAAACTCACATCCCACCAGCGAGATGAGCTTGAAATTTAAAGCACAAACCTGTTGTTTTGTTTCTTTAAAAAACAGAAACACCCAGACAGAGCTATTAAAAGTCCAGATCATAATTTGTTTAGATACCATGTGATCTGAACAAAACCCAACACAAATATGATTTCTTACCTACCAGATATCTCCTAAATAGCTAAAAAGAGCCACATGGACAACCTAGTGTAGACTAAAAATAACTGATGTAACACAACTTTCTGAAAACAACTCAAGTACAAAGAGAGGTCTTCCTACCTTACTGATTAACAACAAATAAAGGAAGAGGAAAGGAAACATACTCACTTTGTAACTCCATCATCAACCTTGTTGTCCTGGAAACAATTCTTCTGCAAGAGAAGTACTGAACTACTAAAACATCTTCTGCTACTACTTCCCCCCCCCTTCTCTGCAGTGTTCTCAATGTTTGATAAACAGCCAGTAACAAATCTTTCTCATAAAATGGCATAGAAATTGGATCTCTTGCTCTCAGAAGAAAATATATCGTTCCACTTGAGTATGTAGCACTTGCAGGAACATCAGGTTTGCATGAAGCCTTTGGAAAAGATTATAATTTTGTTGTTGTTAAAATGACCCACTAACTGAACCTTTCATTTTAGGAATGTGTAGTGCTGGTAAAAGGTAACTGCCGATTTGATAGCAGCACATTTTTCCAAGGGAACAGAGTGAGAAATCTCAGACTACAGTCCATAGACACAAAAATGCACAGCATGCTCTGTCAGAACAGCTCAGCCCTCACTCATAGGTGGTAAACAGCCCTAAAGACATACAGATGGGAGCCCTATACATAAAAAGATTTGCTGTATGGCTTCCTCTCTTGACACATGGGCTATTCCTGGACTTACCATGAGCTTCTTCCTTCCACTGAACTCACCGAGAAAAGTTAAATCAAGGACCCAGCTCTACCCTGAATATAATTAATGTTCCCAAATACTTGATCAATGAAACATTTACTGCTTCCCCAAACACCATCACAGAAGTCAGCTTGAGGGTCCTGCTCACCTCACTTTACTAGAAGCTGTAAACATTAACCCCATCCCTGCCTGCAGGCAGCCACCTGCCCATAGGAAAGGTTATCCACATATGCAGGACAGAAACACTGAGCATGACTGACCACCACGCCAATCAACATGGATGGCTCTTACTATTGAATATAACTGGATTCCTTTTTTCAGTTCCAGGAAGAACTCCATACAGATTGATTCTTAGGACAACAAACAGGACAAATAACTTCTGCTGCTTCTGCTTAAGAATGAACATAAACCAGCAACCTACAGAGTGAATTCAGCCTGCCTTATTCAGGTGCCTAAGTATTTGGGGTGAGAGTCCTCTCTTGCTGCTGAATACCTCTGTGGGAGTGCAAAAAGGTCATAAACCACAAAAAAAAAAAAAATCCCTATTTCTCGCTTTACGGTTGGTGTATGTGTTTGGAAGGGCACAGAACTTTCAAACCCAGTTCTTGGCAATGGGTACTAGGTTGCTGGCCACAAAGAAATAAAAAAAAAACAAACAAACAACAAAACAAACCCCAACCCTCCCAAAAAAACCCCCAGTCTTAAGAGCAGAACTTTGATTGTCTCTCATTCCCAGAAGAAAGCCCTGTACACCAAGCTGGAGTAACCCATCTGGGATCAGAAATCTTAGCAACTCCTGACTTCAGAGCAACAGCTACCTAATCCACAAACCAGGTTATGGACTGTCCTCTGGACCACAGATTAGCCACAGCAGCAGCCGGTACCCATATGGTCAGGCTAGCTTTCCTAGTCCCAGAACAGGATAGCCGCATCCCAGCTGTCTGTCAGAACCAGTCCCTGCACCATGCTACTCTCTAGATATGCCCAAGCACTGTCTGGAAGAGTGCTGGTCGGCACAGGCTAAAACTGTGCCAGGGACTGTGCTACCAGTTTAACAAGATGAATTACAATGTCCCAGTACCCAGAGCCATCCATGCCCTTCTCTTCTTAGTTCAGAATCATTCTTTTTGAAACAGTTCTCTCTGTGCTTCTACAAGAAAATAAAACTTATTTTAACTTCTCTATGAAAAAAAAGCTGGTTTTAGAAATCAGACTTACCTAGGAAACAGCAGGTTTGTTTCAGACCATGACCTTTCACTCCACATTTGCCCATACACTGATCTTTTTGCTACACAACCCGTTTGTGTCAGACACAGCAATTTGGCCTTACCTAAATCGGTTCAATACACTGCAATAAACATAAATATACTTATTTAAACACTTGTAAATTCTTATTTTTTAAACTATCAACTTTGAGTAAATTTGGCTCTGACCCTGCCAGTTAGCATGTCCATGCATACTGTTTTAAATTAAAATGCCAGAGTCCATACTGCTCTCCGATTGGAAAAATCACAATACGCTCCATTTTCAAATGACAGTTGTTAATTACCAAATTATTTCCCCAGCATGTCCAAAAGGTTTTTGGTTCCTTCAAAAGACCCACGATTAAATACAACTATGCTCAGCCATTTATTCAGTGTGGTCTTATTTATCATCATCACTCTGGTAAGAATGAGGCCTGCATTTTCCCTTGACTTCCTCCAACTTTCAATGTATTTACAAGGTCTTTTCATGTTATCTGTAAATGTTAGTTATCCATCTCTTCATACCTTAGATTTTATATTAACCCTATCTGATATATTTTATATTAATTTTGAATTGTGTGTTCTTGTTTCTACTTTTCAAATTACTTATTTAACATATGAACATGACACACAGCTCTCTACTTTGCTTTTCCTTTTCTCCTGTGCTTTTATTCTAGATGCTTTGTTAACCCTCAGGTCTCCACGTATTCTCTTACTCCTTTGAGTATCTCCTCAAGAGATCATACACTTAGTAGCTAAAGTTAGCTGCAATCCCAATTAATTGGGATCTGGAGTTGCTACCAATAAACT